TTAGCGACGCTAATTTTCTTGAAAGAGTAAACGTCATTTAAAGAATTCATTAAATTCGTGATCAGATACTTCAAGTGTTTAGGCAGATAAAGCATATGAAAGATTCTTTGACAAAATCCTCGAAGAAATGTGATCAACTCAAAATCACAGTATATCAAATTGGAAATGGTAAAGTTTGTCGATATTTGTTTATCTTGTCACTTATCAAGATTTTGAAGTCTTTTCATAATAAGCCTTGCAGAATAAATGGAAATAATGTATTCTTAAAGTTATGTCCTGATTTTGCTGTTGATTTTATACCATATCAAAATAAAAATGGTTTTTTACAGTACATCACTATTTTTAACACAACATAATCATGCTACTAACAAACTCTTAGTACTAGGATTTTTATGTAAAATATTTACAGACACATAGTCAGCATTTGATACATCTATAACTTTACATATGCAATTCTTATTTCATTTCTTTATATTCGGTGTTGCCTGATCCTTGACTTTTGGGTTAATTTTCTAACTGAAGATATCTGAACTCTTGCTAAACTTTTAGAGTATAGTTATAATATTTCGCTCAAGTTTAAGTAATTTCATAAACCACTGTTCTTAATTGACTATTTCGTAACGCAACCACTGCATACTAATCGTAAAAGATATGAATTTTGGGCTGTATCACAACAGGATCACAAACCCAATTCCGTAGAATATCTACACAACCAAGGTTTGAAAAAGATAACACTGAATTTTCATTCTTGTAGATGTTTTAAACACCTCATTTTCTAAACGGAAACTCTAAGACAGAATCATGCGAGTTCTTCATAATTCACTCCTAGTTATCTACTTCTATATACTTTACTAATCATCAATATGAGTTGGCATTTTAAATGGTTCAGGAAGAGTGGTTATTTTTCTGTGTCGATTATATACCACGTCTATTAGAAAATTTTTAAAGTACTGTTTAGTTCTTCTAGTAAAACTTCTGTTGACAATAGATTTCAATCATACAATCAATACATGAACCGATCAACTACAAACATGATAAATTATTGAGATATGTTACTCGTATAGTTGTATTGAAAGTTGTCGAATGCAAGAGAACTACAAACTCTACAAAAGATCAAATGTAATTTCCAACAAAAATGAAAAATCATGTATGTCATTCCAGTTACATGTTTGACAAATGAAGTATATAACAAGTCATATTTTATTCACTTTGAGTCTCTGATGTATGCTTAATAATACAGATATTTTCTACAATATAGCTCTCAAAATATTCAACAGTAAAATTCGTGATATAAATATGTCTGTTTGTTGTTATGCAAAGCGATGAAAAGTTTTCTTATGATTTTGAATTTATTCGTTTATGTCAATTGACTTTTTCGATGCGTACAGTAATCTACACATTTTAACCAAAAGACCACTATTTTTGATGGTAGTTAAGAAATTCAAAAATATGTTAGAAAAGCTCTACAAATTAGTTGGATACAGAAAACTAATTATCAAATTATGACCACTTTTTATTATAGAGTTAGTATTTTCACCTTTTTCTATTCGACATACCTGTTTGCATTATTCATAGTAGGTAACGAAATAGAAGTTTAAAAAACGGGAATCTCGTTGTTTGCTTTAACCACGGTAATATATTTTTTTCCATAAAAAAAACTACCGAAGGTAAAGTGCTCATTAATTAGAATGTTGCTTATTTTTATTATTGAAAACTCTAATCAACGTCTAGCGTTTAATCGCTACACTATCATGCCCTGTTTGACTCAGGGATATCAGCGATTATAAGTTAAAGGATTTTATGTCAGTAAAGTTAAGAATAATTAAAATAACGACGGAAATTTCAGTATAAAAGAAACAAGTCAAGATGCATTGGAAAAGTATCATATTTTTGAAGAGAAAGGTACTGGGTCCAAGTCTCACTGTGAACATCATTACCGGGATGTAGACACACCCAGTTGGAAAGTTTTAAAATGAACGGAACCTTCCATAATTTTGACATACTCCCAAAACACTAGCTTTAACCAGGTACGTTGTTTTTAAGTTAGATGTACGATTAGGTGTGAAAAAATCTAAGTGTTTATTTAATCAACTTATTGGATGTGATTGTTGCTAAGATTGTGAGTTTAAATGTTAATGCTTAGTTGTCCATGCAGTAGAAGTTAAATCGAATGATAACAGGAAAGTATACTCGTTTAATACAAGACAAGCAACATCTGATTAAAGCAGATCAACATATAACCCCTTCAAGAATATCTAATTTTATAAGCTTGCATGAAATTCTAAACCCTCATTATGAAGTTTATTTATGTTTAGTCCACATACAGCCAGCAGCTTGTAGTCTTTCCTGTTTAATGTATTACAGTAGAATTGTGGTGTGTGCTACTGATGCCGACAGATATAAGTAGTATGTATCATCAGTCGAAAGTGAAATATCTCGAAGCATAAGGTTAAGATCGAAGACAAGAGTACGGTAACAGAGTGATTGGCGTAGAAACAAAGAAACTATCAAGCGTGAGACAATTGATTGGCACTTTACAAATGAAGCATTTATTACATGGTCCTCAGATTTGACTATAAAATACTGTAATTTTGTATTCAAATACATTTGGCTGTATCCGCCTGTGTTCTCTTTCGCTACAGAATGTGTAAGGATCTCAAGAAACGCCTACTGATCCTGAACCCAATCAAGAAGTAAGATTTAGACGCCAAATATGAGGCTAGTGTGTGATTCCTTATATTTAAGGATGGAGTTTGTTCGATGTCAACACTGTATAGCCTAAGATTTTGATTAAAATGAACTCAAGGGACAACCAGTACAGTTTGATCTATCATATAAACTAACCTAAGTATGAGTTCCATCTAGCAGATATAACCAACAGTTTGCTTATACGTGAGAGTTAATTCATGAATCGGAATATTGTCCAGTCAACGTTCATAACGAGATCGTTGGGCTGTCTCATAATGCTTCATGGTTATTAGACACCTAGGACAATCAGCCACAATGCATTTATACTCCAGAGATATGATTAGCCAATGATCTGTTTAAACTACTCCACTTCACGAACAGGAACCCCTATGAATTTGGATATCCCACATATAACTTCAAAGGAAATAATATTATGAACATGAGAAAACCTAAAATGTCGAGTGGGCTAAACGTTCAAAGCAAAGGATTATGAAAAATTCACTCTTCTTAGCCCAAATAGTATATGTTGTGTTTTTGCCTATGCCACTATTTTTATTACCATAGGCTAGTAGAATATCCACAACAGAAGCCAGACAACAGATCACTAGTACCCATACTTCATGTGATTATAAAAAAAAACATTAAAACAAACCGCGAAGTGTTTCAGTACATACATAGCTAAGGCATTTTTTATTCAGACCAGACTAATGGTTAATCGACTGTAATCATTGAATGGTAAAAGAATAGAGCAACAATCAGTGAACCAAAAGGTGGTGTATAGTTAAATCTGAATAAAAAACTGAAGTAATTGCTGAATCAATAACCAAGCAATTAGACAAAGGATAAATTATCTTGCCTCGACTCAACGGCACAATTGGTAGTAAAAAGCACTAAGGTAAATTGTTATTGGTTTAGTTATCAAGCAATGATGCTTAACGAAGTTGTCGATGGTAGGATACTGATGAAAAATAAATGAATGCTGTATATGCCACTTTCTCAAATCACTTTGATAGATGACAAGCAGGTGGGAGGATTATATGGAGAACGCTAGGAAATAATGAGATTATGAAGGACGAATTATTTCCCTGACCTGAAGTTTTCAACTCTTATGGCAACTATGTTTTTGATAATCCTAAAAATGTGACTTAGCTATCATACACTAAGTTGTCATCTGAACAAAAGAAATTGCCTTGAAATTTTAATTAAACCTCCGACTAAAAACCAAGGTATATTAGAAAAAATTATATTGTCATAAAATGATTTAATTAACAAAGATATTATGAAATCGAATATTTAATGTAGACAATAAATTTAGATTTTATTCATTAAGACAGAGAGGATAGTATTTTTCATTTTGACAAGTGTTCTCTATATTCTACAAGCCACCTTTTGGATATTCTTAAACAATTATTGAGGTCAATGACATGCGAAAATAGAATAGAAATCAAAACCATCTTTTGTATAGGAAATGAGATTCCGATTTAGTTCCAGTTATGTCATCCGCTAAAAAAGCAGCTAGGAATTTCCAGTTAGATTTAATAGAAAGTACTTATTCTGGACAACAAGTTACCAGGCATTTTCCACCTTTACCCAACTATTTTGTATCTTGCTTGGTCACTCTTAAACAAGATCGCATCTGGATCGAATGTGAATCACTTCAAGTCTTTACATTACGTCAACACAACAAAAGGGAGTTACCATGACGAGAATCGACGACAATATCGTTAATAGTGAAAGACAAAATGAAATCAAATAACTTAGTCGGGCAGGACAAATGAGCTCGATGAGTCACATGCTAACTTTGATGTCGGTAATATATATAAGACGATATAAGGCACTCAAATTTCCTAATTGTTATACTAAATATTTTGCTCCGAATAGAAAATGGTGTCTAATCAGTACGCTGGATGTTATAGACAGATTCAAGAGAAACTGAAGTGGAAGACACAAATTAAGTAATCTTTAAGGCAATAGCTCGGTCGTCCAACTTCAAACAGATTTTAATGTACAGCTGATCAGAAAAACGCCATACGCAATCGATTTTCAGTATTCACGTAGTAATACCGTTCATGAGTACAAACTAAGCTAATTGGTCTCGATCTATCGAATTTACTTGTCGAGCTTGTAGGATTTCAAATGTCAAATTTGTAGTAGAAATATTGTTGGGGTGATACAGAAAGAAGAAGCATTCTATCCAATCAGCGTACAGTAGAAGTTTTGCCAGAAACATCACGAAAGTAAAAAGTCACATGTGGAGTTTCTGATTGGCTGATTACCACACTGCTATTATGTTTAGTAGCATTCCAGAATTTTCAGGAAGACCCAAGGACTTCTAAAATACTATAAAAACTCTATATTTACTGCACGTAAAGTGCTTCTCGCATGCTTTGCGCCTTTTCTCTCGTGTTCAAGTTGCTGTGTAGTTTTAGCTTGGGGATTGCGAGAATAGTTTAGGAATCGAGTATAGTGTTCAGTTAGCAAGACATATCATATATAACGCATTATGAGCTAAATCTGCTGTGCATTAGTGTGTAACCTCTATAATAATTATAACCACAACTTAAATATTTGCCTATTAGCTATTCAAATATGCAGTAAAACCCTGATTCGTTCTTTGACACTAAATTGGAGTGTTATAAAATCATTTTATTTCTAGCATATTAGATAAGTGGAAAACAATTTAGTTTATTCCCATAAAATTTACTCCACTTATTGACTTAATACTGCAAAACTTCACTGACTTCATGACAGATCAAGGCAAAGGTAGAGTCAAAGAATTACTTAATACGTTACGTCAATATACGGCTAAGAACTACTTATATCTGAATTAATTAAACGTTTTCGCGATCAAAAACATCTCTACGTTGATAACACATAAAAACAGTTCTTACAGCTGTACTTTTGGAAGATTAGCATAGATTAGTCTGAGGGTGTAAATCCAACTGGGCGAAAGCTAACGCAAGATAAAAAAATTGAAAACAATGACGAGTGAGAGCAGTAGTTTATATCAAATTAATGAGATTCTGTATAAAAAAATAACGTCAATCAAATCACTGACAGATATCACAGATTTTAACGAAAACTCTACAATAAATTGAGACAAAAGCTCATAGGACATCTGCTTAACCTGATAATTATTGTGCAAGCGACACGCATTTCTGATAGTTATCATCGATTTTATTTCGTGAAATATTAGGGTCGGTTGCATTATATGAATTTGAAGGTAACAGTGATACTGTGTTGGATCCGCGTTTTCGATTACGTTTGCGATGTCGAGGTTTCGGACGCTTAGATATTATGTTCGTCGGTTCGAGATTGTCTTGTTTGCATGCATTATTGTCAAGAGCTGTATTACCACTATAGTGAAGTTCTGTAGATTCATCATCATCTGCCAACTGGGATGCTAGGTCAGCCTCAAAACCATTTGATATTAAGTACTTCAAACGATCAAAGTAGCGAGACCTTGCTTCTATTTCCCAAATACGATTAGACCTTTCCAACCTGCTTGCTGTAGCATATGTATAAAGATTGTACACAGCAGAGATAGGGTTCCCCCTAGGAAAATGCACATGTTTCCGACCATCTAGTTTTTTTTCATTGCAGTGAGGATTACAAGCATGTCGAGCATCGTTCTCATTATACAGGTGTTTATGGTTTAAGTCATTTACATTGTATTTGAACGACCATTTCTTGTTGACTTCATAAAGTTGTTTGCTTATGAATTTTTTGGGTTCGGTGGAACATGCCTTTGTAGGCAAATGATTGTGAGGACCTTCCGGACTTGACTTTACTATATACAGCTCTGGAGTGTGGATTTGAACAGAAAAAGTCTGTTCCGGTTCATCACTTTCATCTGAGGAGCTTGATAGCTGAACAGATCGAAAGAAATCAGACTGACCCTGAGGGATTATTGAACGAATAGTTAGATCGAAGTCTAACTCATCTTCCCGCTCCGGAATACTAAAGTCGCCACTACAGTATAGCAAATCGAACAGACGACGTCCATGGGAAGGACAGACCCAATACTGTCTTTTGATGCAGAACTTGGTACTGACTACAGTTATATGATGATAATTAGTTTTTATATGTAAATGCAGAAAGGATGCTAAGTTGGTCGCTTTCGCATGTAGTTTTGACGGACATTTACGATTTAGATTAAAGCCACGTAGGACTGCTTGGATCGCTCTCGTAAGACTATGGAAGGGAACAGAAGGGGTAAAACTTTTCCGGGGGCTTAGTGCCACAGCTGAATTTGACCGAAGTTCGTTGGCAGCAAGTTGATGATAAATGCGTCTAAACCAACAGTCTCTACACTGAAGTAGGTCCCGCAATATATGAAGGTCAGTGGAGGGAAGAAGCGAATGCGAACCAAAGTGAACTGTGGGTCCAACTGACCAACGTTCTGCCATCTACAAACAAAAATAAACAAAATAGAACACTGAATAGGGACTAGTTGGATACCAATTAAAAGCATTTTAAGAATAAATATTCCCTTAAAAAACAAGTCATAGGTAATCTCGAGCGTATATATTTTCATGGGTATGCAATTCTTGAATTTCCGCTAGATATCAAATGGTCATAAATCCTGAGATCTTGGGGAAACACTGTAGTACGGCCGTGTATTTTATACATCAAAAACATAGCAGTTGTGGGTTTTAGTCACTTAGACTAGTGTTGTGTCTTGTTATTGCGGTTCAATACGGACGACGGTGTTACGAATCTAGGAACGAAAACGATTGAGCTACTCCAATACGGTTGGTTTTCTTTGAAACTGAAAACAGTCATGAAACTTTAATGGTTAACACAGGTAGAGATTTTCGCCTTTCCAATGAAATTCGACTATTCTTGAGACCGCCTTAACAACTAGTGACCACAGTGCAGATTGATAGAATAGGTATTAAGGACCAAGAAAACGTGATACTAGTTATTACTCTGTGACCAACCAGTAAAGATCTAGTGTTTACTTGACGATAAATCTCGAAAAACCCTTCAGAAGTAAACAAATATGAACGATGTAATTAGTTAGGATAAATCTGATTGCAAACAAACGTACTTCGCTCCTCTCCTTTACGATTCAGAAATGCGATCAATGGATAAAAAAGCACGACTAACTGGGATGTTCGACTATATTTATCACTTAAAATAGTTGTTGCTTCGTTATGGTTTTCTGTATACACCATTTACAAAAATGGATCACTTATTGAGTTAATGAACACAAGTCTGAAATATCTGACATGTTCTTAACAGTGGAAGTGATCGAACGCTATATTTGGAACTGTGACTTTAGAACATAACATCTGAGTTAAACAGTCCACTTATTCCTGAGCGATAATAGTCATCAATAAACTCCAGAACCATCAGACAGCCATAACGTAGGGTATGGCATAAATGTTCATTCATTTATACTAATCATACCAGCACAGAGAAACGAAAGTAACAAGATGAAAAGGAATCCATATGGTGTCTGTGGTAGTGGCGTCTTTTTGGTATTAGATGGTAAACTAGAGATTTCGGTTGACTAGGAGTCATTTATACTCCCTTGGTAATGCATAAGCTGCCAAGAAGAATATGGCGACCATCCTTCAACTGCCATCAAAATTAGGCATGCAGTGACAAACATAAAACAAGTTAAAACATTGGGAGGCGACGATCGTTTACTTCAAAATCCATCAAAGGTGATGATCAGCAATTACTAGACGAAGTGAAGTTACTAAAGAATTAAAAAAAACAGACAGTTTTGGCACAATAAATTCGATTATTGATCATTTCAAAGATTTTTCTATACGGGATCACCGCACCAAACCGTTTTTTAGTAGTCTCCAAAGATTTAAAGGAGTTCAAAAAAGCATGTGGACCAGATACAAGCGAGAGTTAGTTGACCAAGTCTTTACTTTCCGATGTCTTAGAAATATTGCTCGCATCTGTTGGGATCACCGGGTAAGTAATAGTGAGGTTAGACACAGGGTATTGGGGAATGAAGGTAAATCAGTTGATGAGGTCATGAATCTTCAACAACTGAGATGGTTGGGCCACGTGTTACGTATGCCTGAACACCGATTACCACGACGCGCTATGCTGACCAGTGCAGGGGATGGTTGGAAAAGAGTTAGGGGCGGCCAAACCAAAACGTGGCATCAGTGCTTGAAGTCACTAACTTTTAGTCTGAGCCATGTCGGTACATGCAAACTACTTGGTTGAGGTCCGCGTGACTATCGTAACTAATTGTTGGAGACTCCGGGTGACATGGCTCAGAATCGATCACAATGGCGTAGGTGTATACACTCTTTATCTTCCTTTAAACCTTGAGATTAAAATTGCTTCATATCTGTTTTTCTTCCTATACTGTATCCTTATATGCAACCTATCTTTTATATACTACCACCACTAAATTAACTACTTCTATGAATACGGTGATCACCTTGTTGTGCTAACGAGGTATGGCAACTTGGACCGATGCATAAATGTGCCTGGCCCTATGTTGTAGCTGACTGACTACTTCCCGACAGATTATAAAACACCGTCTTCAACGCTGCAACGGTTATATTTGTTAATTTAGTGTGCATTATGACCTCACTATTTGACAAAACTATCTGACATGAACTTGTTGTTAACTTAAAGTAATGAATAGAATCTGATCCGAATGAGTTAAATCCAGGAATTATCATGGGTATAGGTCTAGAATCTAACTTTTAGGCTAGAGAATGTATAAATTCAAGTTTGCGAGATGAACGCAATTGTGTCGGACTAATTCCAATTACTGGTAGTCCCTAGTTTATAAGAAACGAAAAAATATTCTCGTGATAACTACGGTTATGAATTAGCTTTAACGATTCGCAAGTGAAAGACATTTAGGGATTATTATATCAATGGATAAGGTGCGCTGATCAATGAATAATATGCAATGATATATTGTTATCGAGTGATAACTGGTCACGAGGTCGAATAATTGACATAAACCTCCAATGAACTGATACCAAAAAAAACGAACTGTCCAATAGAACAGGGTTCTTATTCTAAGAATATGACACGGTCATATGCAGAAACTTTTACTCAAAAAGAGTACATGATTCAGTCAGTCAGTCAGCTACAACGTAGGACCAGGCACATATATGCATCGGTCCAAGTTGCCATACCTCTTTAGCACAACAAGATGAACACCGGATTCATAGAAGCAATTAATTTAGTGATGGTAGTATATAAAGAAAGATTGTATAGAAGGATATAGTACAGGAAGGAAGAGAGATATGAAGCAATTTTAATCTCAAGGTTTAAGGGAAGATAAAGAGTGTATACACCTACGCCATTGTGATCGATTCTGAGCCATGTCACCTAGAGTACATGATTAGAAGTCATTTGACGAATAAGCGACTGGAGAATGCTACGACCATAGGTCAATCATTCGCCAAAGTAACTAATGCCTAACTACTACGATTAATTCTTGACTTTATCTCAACTTAAGATATAACAGTCTGACTGTCTAGGAAAATAAGTTACATAACTATCCAACACGTAAATAGAGCTTGAAAACAACAAACCTGAAGAAGTCAGACTAGTTTGTCCTAGGCACTGCTGTAAAAATATAATACTAGTCTGTCGACAGATTTCAGAGCACAATTAAACAACCTTATCTAGTGAATGTATCCAACTTAGTCAACCATCCTCATGGTTTGGAGCACTGCATAACTTTAGTGTTCCCAATCCACCAGTTGTAAAAAAATGAGAAATACTATGAAAATAACTACCAAAACCTTGTAAGCTACACACCATCGACGATCTTTAAGTCGTATGGAAAGTTAAGCACATCACTAGGCAGTGTACTTATCTCGATGGTTTTAACATATACTAAGTTATACAAATTGCTGCCCCGTTTTTTGTTTTACTGAAGAAGTGAATATTCTTTAGTACTACGTAATCTCGAGGGCTAAATGAAATCCGATTGTGATTGGTCACAGTTTCGGAGAAAATGACTTTGTTTTCCTCTCAAATAATCCCGCGACTAGCAACAGATACATGGCAATGTATATATGGTTTTAATAGCCAACCTCCTACGTAAACGGATTTGAAAATAGAATCCCAAGAAATTATTAAACGCCAGATTTACACAAAATCAAGACGTTTCCGTCGAGCCTCTAACATTTAGGATAATTTCTCACCATAACGAGAAATGATTTTAGTTCTGCTGCATGCTTGCACCTGAAAAATAACATGATGGATAATTACTTTGTCTTTATAAATTAAGACGGAGAATAATATTTTTCATTTTGACAAGTGTTCTCTATATTCTACAAGCCACCTTTTGGATATTCTTAAACAATTATTGAGGTCAATGACATGCGAAAATAGAATAGAAATCAAAACCATCTTTTGTATAGGAAATGAGATTCCGATTTAGTTCCAGTTATGTCATCCGCTAAAAAAGCAGCTAGGAATTTCCAGTTAGATTTAATAGAAAGTACTTATTCTGGACAACAAGTTACCAGGCATTTTCCACCTTTACCCAACTATTTTGTATCTTGCTTGGTCACTCTTAAACAAGATCGCATCTGGATCGAATGTGAATCACTTCAAGTCTTTACATTACGTCAACACAACAAAAGGGAGTTACCATGACGAGAATCGATGACAATATCGTTAATAGTGAAAGACAAAATGAAATCAAATAACTTAGTCGGACGGGACAAATGAACTCGACGAGCATAATATAATGATATTAAAATTCAAGACCTAAGGGAAAATAAGGACTAAACAAATTTGTGTATATGCTGCTGATTCTAAGCCATGTTACTCAACGTTTTCAACTGCCAATAATAATTTGCGCGTGATCCTGAACAAGAATATTTACACCTCCACACGCGCCTCAGCATGTCACATATTGCTTTGAATTTCTGTGATTTTTTCTCAACTTATTTATTTCCCAGCCATCACCATGTGTTGAGAAAGATGGAGAACGAAATACAATTAACCAAAGTCTGGGTCTTCTTGGGAAATGAAAATGAATAACCTTAGTAACCATTTTGTTACCAGTACTTTGATGTGGTAAATACCTAATACGGAAAACAAATAGACTTAGGAGATCCAATAGACGGACGACATAACCTCCGAAGTTCTACAAACATGTGGGAACTAGGACACACTCGCAACAGCAAAAACCGCAGACGAAGCATTATCAAGTGTATGCTCGTAATATTCGAATGATTAATCCGTGCGTAAAACTAAACTATCTGGCTGTGAACTCGATAAGTCCTTGCAGTATATATATGACTAATCCTTAAGCCCTTAAATAAAAGAATGTCAGAAATGAGTCAGAAAACTAAGGTTGATTTAGGTGAAAATTTGATCCTAAATAGACTGAAATCTTAATCCATTTAAATCATAACTTTTAATTTGGCATCGAGAATACGACGAGATAGGACTCTAGTCCTTTCACTACTGTACACTGGGATGGAAATTGTGGAAACAAGCTACTCTCACACTAGCTCGACGGAAAATTCATGTGTGAAAGCCTTATTATAACAATGAAAATAAATCATAAGTTGGAGGTAACGTCTTCCTGTAGTATTTGACTGTATACATATGTTATGTTACCACTTACGAAAGAATTTTGAACGGTTTTCGATAGTTATAGGTGAGTATTCTCGGCAAGTTAGCACAAGCAGATACGAGACAATGCATGAGGACGTATAAACAACAGGCATCTGAAGGGACGATTTGAAAATAACACTTCCTTGCGCGGTACACTTAATGTCTTCAAACTTCAACCTTGCTTGTTTGAATTCATGAACTGCATTTGGGTAGGGCAAATAATGAAAACAGTTTTGAACAATTCTGCGGTCAGGCTATCAAATTTTTTTGAAAGAAACCATAAAAGCGATAAACCTAATGAATACAGATTTCAAATGCGAAGAGATAACCAATGTAACACTTCCCCTTTATAAGAAATCCGGATTTTAAATTTCTCGAATTCATCCTCCCCCACGAAAAACTGTTGTATCCTCATGTACCCAAGTTACCATTATTGTGACATTATGTAAAACATATTCGTCGTATTTAACAGAGAATCCACCAGAACTTATTAGATTGTGAGGATCGACGACATTCGATTTGAGATCACCAGCGTCTGATTCTTCTGAAACAGTTTCCTTGAATTTACTCGGAACGTCATAAGTAGATAACGAATCATTAGGATAACCAGTATCTATGAAAGTTGTATTGGATTCTTGATAAACATTTAATGCATCTGACATTCATTGTTCGCACGTATAGTGACATTTATGTCTAGTGATTTTTTGTAACAACAAATTAAAGGTCACATATTTTTCCTAGTTGTCACACTTTTTATGTAATCACACTCATATTCGATATTTATTGTTTTTCTGTATCAATGGTAAAGAAACGAATACTTTTGTTTGGTTATATATAACACTTCTTCACTACCGCGCTTCTTAAAATATAAGCGTTGTATCCGCCGTCTATTCTTCTGCTTTAGCGGCCACGGCCTTTGATTGAAGATTATAATAGTATTATAACATCGTTTTAGACCATTCCACACTACGTTGGTGTTTTGGCCCGGATCATTAATGAATAATACTATAGCAACTCAGATACAATTGAGTTTGTTTACATCTAATTTGACTAAGCCTTTTTGTTAACTTATTTAATGGACAGTCATTCATACAATAACAACCCATCTATACCATTGTACTTTTATTATATACGCTTGAACATTGCTTACTGCCTACGCATATATTCATTCCGCTAGCATTATTATTAATCGCTTATTTGATCCGATGATTCATGCTTTTCCGCTTATATATATATGTACATCTTAATCCTGTTTACTGCTCTTGCCCTGCTTGCTCTCTGCTCTGCTCTGTATTACGCTACACCGTACTGTATATGCTTACTCATTCATCCGGCTCTATGGCACTGCTTTTTCATGCTTGTTTGACGTACCTGTAATATTGGATAACTGTGTGTGGTTCAGCAATAAACACGATCAACCCTTCGTATTCGTCTTCTGATTTATACATCGTTAGGACGTTGTCAAGTAACGGTTATCAAGACGAACAATATACGAAGCTTAGGGATAGTACCGAATATCGACCACCACAGAATTGGAGGCCTCGCCGTACGAGCACGACGCTACAGAATTGGAAGCCTCGCCGAGCGATCACAAAACAATTTTCGACGATATAATCTAATCCCGAAAATTCAAAGCGCTGCGTCTCAAATCGGATTATTATCTGTATCATAATCATAATTGTGGATTTATTAGATTCTAACTCACAAACATTGAACTTAACGATTATATTCATACTAAATAACGATCATTCACAAACAATTGATATATTGGTGCGATTTAGTAAGTCTGTTCCATTTTATAAATTGTACCATTTATTATTATCATTGTTTCTGTCCGTCTATTTTTTTGTGACATCTATATCATATTTGTGTAGTACTCAAAAATTTTTTTGTAAGCATGTCTTCCGAAAACACTATGTCAAGTGTACAGCAAACTTCGTCCGTGAGAACTCTCAACCTTCCAGTCCCCTATTTTAAAGTTACCGACCCTCAGCTGTGGTTCATTAGACTCGAAAACTATTTTCTGGCTAGTCGTATTAACTTACAAAGAGATAAATTCGGCCTCACAAGCACTCTCCTCCCAGACGAAGTAGCAGAAAGCGTACGAGAGGCGTTATCTAAACCGGATACTGAAAGGCCATACGATGTACTAAAGCAGGCAGTAATTAAAGCAGTCGCACTAAGTGACCAACAAGCTGTTGAGCAGCTTCTCAACCAGGTACAAATCGGGGATAGAACACCATCACAGTTAAAAACTCATATGAAAAGTCTACTAGGTGATAGAAAAATAGACAATAACTTATTTTATCAACTGTGGCTTCGCCGACTCCCGTCCAGTATTCAGCAAATCCTAGCTGTTGGAGATACTGACGCTGATATGGACAACATAGCGAAAATAGCTGATAGAATATACGAAAGAGCAAAGCAAGCAAGCCCTCAATCACACAGCGTGACAGTAGACGATAGAATCAGTACTCTGCAGAAAGAGATAGATGTTTTATGCCGCAAGCTCACAGAGTTGACCCAGAGCGAGAGACCACGAAAATTATCACGAGTTGGCACGCGCGAGAGAAGCCAATCAGCTTCCGGAAGACGCGCAACTCCGCTGATATGTTGGTATCATCAAATGTATGGTTACAGAGCAAGAAAATGCTTACAACCTTGTAGATTTAGCACGGCAAGTAAGCGGTACCCTCGGTTGTCCATGGCAACGCCTGCAGCGAACACAAAGCCCTCAAACAGCCGCCTATTTTACATACAAGACCGAATGACAGGCACTCAATTCTTGGTGGACACGGGGGCTGAAATTAGCGTAGTACCCCCAGTATGTGACGACAAAAGAAACCTTAACACTTCATTAGTTCTAAAAGCGGCGAATAAATCAGATATTAAGACATATGGCAAACGAATGTTATCCTTAAATTTCGGACGAGGCGCGACATACCGCTGGGATTTTGTCATAGCAGACGTATCGGTACCTATAATAGGCATCGATTTCTTATGCAATTTCAATTTACTAGTAGACTCACGGCGCCACAGACTCATAAACGGTACCCATACTACTTCGATTACGGGAATACTTACAGAATCTGTTTCTATGAACGTAGTGGTAGATAAGAGCCGCAACGACCCACGCAAATTATTGTTAAACGAGTTTCCAGAGCTTTTAAAAGTAACGTACAATAAAACAGATCTCAAGCATACTATCCAACACCATATAGTAACCAACGGGCCACCGGTTAATGCAAGGCCAAGAAGATTAGACCCAAAAAGGCTAGCAATAGCAAAGCAAGAATTCGACAAGTTAATGAGGCTGGGCATAATAAGGCCTTCGAACAGCCCGTGGGCATCCCCATTACACATGGCTCCGAAAAAGAACGGAGAATTAAGACCATGTGGAGACTATCGAGCACTTAATAAGCAAACAATGGCCGATAGATACCCTATACCACACATCCATGATTTTACTTACAGTATAGAAGGTGCTACAGTATTCTCGAAGATTGACTTAGTTAGAGCGTATTATCACATCCCGGTCGCTCCACAAGACATACCAAAAACAGCAGTAACAACCCCTTTTGGGCTATATGAATTCTTACGCATGCCTTTCGGACTGACTAATGCAGCACAAACATTTCAACGGTTTATTGACCAGGTCATCAGAGGCTTACCTGGAGTATACGCATACATAGACGATTTACTAGTAGCCAGCTCCACTATGGACGAGCACATACAACAACTACGGCAATTATTCGCGCGACTAAGAGATCATGGTATTTCCATAAACATTGAGAAGTGTGAGTTTGGAAAAGGATCCTTACAGTTCCTTGGACACATGGTAACTTCTCAAGGTATCACACCGATCTCTACAGAAATCGATACCATCAGAGACTATCCGTTGCCCGATACACAGAAGAAATTACGACGATTTCTGGGACTAATAAATTATTACAGACGTTTTATTCCGAATTGTGCGGCAATACTTCAACCACTGACCGATGCGTTACGGGGACACTCCCGGACATTCCGATTATCAGCAGAGGCAATACAGGCCTTCGAGAACGCCAAGAAGGCACTCAACAAAAAGACGACATTAGCTAGAAGAAAGAGCGAAACACCGTTAGCTATCATGACAGATGCATCGAATGTGGCGGTAGGAGCTGTTTTACAACAGTTAGTAAATGGCACATGGGAACCGCTTTCATTCTTCTCAAAGAGACTGAATCCCACGCAAACGAGATATAGTACTTTCGGAAGAGAATTACTAGCAATTTACTTGGCAATAAAACATTTTCGACATATGGTAGAAGGCATAGATTTTGCAGTTTACACGGACCACAAACCACTCACGAACGCACTAAGCGCAAAGCAAGATAATTACTCTCCGAGGGAGATCAGACAATTAGAGTTTATTTCCCAGTTCACTTCTGATATACGATATATTACAGGCCAAGAAAACGAAGTAGCTGACGCACTATCAAGAACGACGATAAATACTCTCGTCCAATCCGAAATCGATTATCGCGAATTAGCAGAATTACAAAATATAGATGTCGAGTTAAACAGACTGAAGTCTGACAATACAACCTCTCTGGTACTAAAAGAAACTTCAATCGAAAACGTGAGTATTATGTGCGATATTTCTACGGGCCGACCAAGACCATTTATTCCGAAGCCTCTAAGACGAAAGGTTTTCGACACTATGCATAACATATCACATCCTGGGATAAAGGCCACAATCAAATTAATCAGCGAACGTTTTGTATGGCCAAGTATGAACCGGGATGTTCGTAATTGGACGCAAACTTGCATAAAATGCCAAAAAGTTAAAGTAAATCGTCACACCAGTTCCGCAATAGGTCCTTTTCGTCATCCTGATAGCAGATTTGAGCATATACATATTGACATTGTAGGACCGCTGCCGATTTCAAACGGCTTTAGTTATATTTTTACCTGCATTGATAGATTTACGCGATGGCCTGTAGCAGTACCCATAAAAGACATTTCGGCCGAAACTATAGCCAAAACCTTAGTAGAGCATTGGATCTCTCATTATGGTGTGCCTGCACACATTACAACCGATCGAGGAGCCCAATTCGAGAGCCACCTCTTTCAACAACTCACTGAACTCCTAGGAATCAAGCGTAATCGGACAACATCTTACCATCCGATGGCGAATGGTATGGTAGAAAGATTACATCGGCAACTCAAAG